CATTCCAAATGAGTGTGTGCAGGCACCAAAGGAGAGGAAAACGCGAGAGGAGGTGGCCAAGTTGCCAAGTCACGTGGCTCTGGCTGAGGATTATTTTAGAGCAACGATTGGGAATCCCGTAGGGCCCACGACTTGATTGTACAACCTGGGTTCTGATGCCACAAGGTCTACAAAACTGCATCGCGACCGTGCGCATGAAATCTTTCGCATGAGGCCCACGCACCTCGAGCGACGAACCTAGAGGCCATGCCTCGTTAACGGCACAGCTGAGATGGAACAGGACCGTTCCTCCGCGTGGATGTCAGCGGCTTTCCTACACTCGCGCGATAACATAAAGAGCTGGACGTGGGAGAGCGCTCAGCTGGAAGGAAGCGTGAACCATCCAGGGCGACGTAGAAGAGGTCGCGAGGCTGGTCCCTGTGGCCTTCGTGTTGCACGGTGGCCTTGGAGCAGCAGTGCTGTGTTACAGAAACTACACTTTTTTATTTTAGCCGGTAAGGCCCACCGAGCCATGTAGCTTTTTTTCAGAAGCGTCCTGGCCACATAGTTCAACGAAGTGGCTTGTCACGTGGAAATTCATGGCAGCAAAATACGCCAAACACTTGTTGATTCTTAATGTGGTGGGAAAAAAAACCGAATATAAACCCACGCGACCATGCAAACTCCAAATATACAGGGTCGGGACCGAACCCACGACCTCCTGCATACCAGGCGAGGGAGTTAACATTTCGTAGCCACCGTGGATAAGCCGACGCCCAAAAGAGCGGCACGCGAGGTTCCCCCAACCCCATCACGTGGCCAGCCTCTCCAGGGTTGGACGAGGGGAAGGTTTCTGGTAGCCTTTGTGCTGCCCCTATCGGTTTCCCGAGCCGCGTGCAGACGCGTTGATACAAACCACTCCATCACCGCCTGTGGAACGCGAGTCGATCTCAACCACACACCTGGAAATGCAACGGATGGAGACGAAGGCTTCATGATGCACAACTTAAACTCGGGCTGCACGGGAACCTTGCCTGCTGCACTTCCTGTTACTCCACCGCTGGATGACGGCCTCCCCACGCCTCGCGGGCCTTGAGGTATTCCACCATGCTGCAGCACGCCGGTCAGTGCGGGTTGGTGGTGAATGTGAGCGCAGTGGATAGGACTGCACTGCCCTCTGTTGCTCACAAGAGGCCAAGAGAAACGTCAGCTTTTTTTGTCGCCGTGATGTGACGAGCGAATGTCTAAAGTATGCACGCTGCATGCTTTTAATTTTAGAGCCGTGTTATTGACACGTCAAGTAAGTCCTCGTTTAACGCGGTAGAAGATGCGTGCACGAGCATCTATAGAGCGTCGTTATATTATGTCATGTTGGAGTGGAATAAAAAATATCCCGGAATATCTTCAAAGTTGGCAATCCCTCCTACTAAGCAATGCAGCAGCACCGGCACCCAAGCTTGGGCCGGGTAGCCACCCACCCATCATCCAAGCACGATCCGGGCTCAAATGCCCTGCTTCGCTTTCCGAGGCCTGGCAAGCTGAAGCGCGTATTTGGCCTGCTCCACCCTGCACCGTGAAGGGTGACACGGGGACGTGCTTAAATTAAATGGACCACAGCATTGGAAGAAGAATCAACATGTCGATATTTTCCACAAGTTATTCTTGGGCCAAATTTGCGGAGATTTCGACTTTTCATATATATGTCTATATAAACGACCGTGTACATTGCGTTGTGCTAAATATATTGTACAGTCTATAGTAGTGTTTTTTTTGTTAGATCCCGTAAATATATTAATGTGTTGTTAAACCCGCCACCACCCGACACAGCCAACTTGTAAGGTTTGTAACGTCAACAGAACGTGGCCAATTCGTTACTAGTACAGCACACCGGTGTGTTGAAGAGCAACTCCACAACATTTACAATCTGAGAACGACGTTTCGCCAGTGATTACAACTAGCTTCATCAGGCGGACAGCCAGATGTGTCTGTACATTTTCTTTGGTTCTTTCGGTAAAGTCTCATCCCTTCACCTGATGAAGGCCGCTTGTGTTGTGGCCGAAACGTCGTGAGAATTTTGTGTTATTTGATCAATTTATGATTTTATTCTCATTCTACGTGACTTTACCGAAAGAACCAAAGAAGAATCCTTGCAGTCACGAAAGCTTTGAATCGAAATGTCTGTACATTGTCAAGAGATGTTAAAACGATAACCGGTAAACCCGTTTGAAAGTCAGGAACCGGTAACCGTTTTCAGTGGATTACAAAGAATAAAATGAACGCCACCGATTGGTAGGCGAGCGCGGACGTTTTCAGGGGTCAAGGCGGTCCCAGTCACCGCGTGGGGGTCACCCAACAGTGGCGGCGTTTACCAACGTCTGCTCCGTTGAAGATGCAATGGGCGTTGTGGGGCAGCAGAGGGCAGTGAAACAGAGAGGGCAGCCCTGGGATTGATCGCTCCCCGGCCACTGCCCGGCAGTCGGGACTGACTCCTCCGCTAGAGGGAGCCCTTTAGAGGGGATTTTTTTGGTTTTACTCAGAGAAGACGCGTCAGTGACCGTGGGTCGGCAGCAAAGTAACAAAAAAGAGCCATTTTCTTCGATTAACAGAGCTGTCAACCCCTTATCAGTGCCCTACCTTATTACAGTCCAATTCAGACCTTATATTGGTCACCCCGTGCCCTCAGATCTCAACGTTCATCCTACAAAGTCCCATCACAAGGGAATAAACACACATATAACTTTTTTTTTGCCCGTATTGAAACGGCTGTACGCCGTATGGACCTGAACACTCAAATTCCCTGGAACAAGAATTTGGGTAAACCGTATGGGTTGACAGCTATGGAATTAAGTTTTAAAAAACCCTCAATATTTCGAGAGCCGCGATGCATGTGATGAATACAAGTCGGTCCTTCATGAATGCATTCAGACCATAGTTTTCTTCAATCACTATTTTATCGAAAATAGATCGGAGGGGTTTGCTTTTTTCTATTTTGCAACGATCGTGTCGGGAGCCACGACGCAGTCCTTACAGAGCCGCAAGTTGCCGACCCCGTGGTATTCGTCGAAGATGTGGGAGAGTGAACCCACGCGTTACCCCACCACACACGCGACCTTTCGGATGGAATCGCTGTGGTTGAACCCAGGCACGCTGCTGGGCGGGGAGAGATCGAAGGATCTCGTGAGACTGCTTTGATCGCCGCGCCACGAGATGGAATCGAACCGGAGGACCCTCGGGGTTGCAGGAGCGGCGTGCTGACCATTGACACCACAAGTAGCTGCCTTGGTCAGCCATCGAGTAAAACAATCTCAGGCGTTAACCTCCTGCGTAGCTTCCAAGGTCGGATTAAAATGCGAGCGCATTGCTGGAGGGTTTCCTGAACGCAGAGGCCTCGTGGTGTGGAGGCACTGAGAGTCCCACTCAGACCACGTGTCCACCTGAACTTGCTTGGATGCGGGAACCTGTGCCGGTGTGAGTAGTTGTGAATACTCTACATCACGAGCGCGTGAATACAATCCATGTTGCACTATATTATACACAAACGCCAATAGCTCCCAGTCCTCCCCAACCCGCACTGTGGCTTGCTGATTCCAATCTGTTATATTATTGATATTATTTACATTATTCATGTTATATTATTTGTAGAGCGGCTCCTTTCAAGGCACGTGACATAGTGAGAAAAACAAAACGGTGATAATAATGGAATGATACTGGTAGGAACGAAGTTGTAAACTGAGTGTACCAGCCTGCAATAGATTAATGTGTCCGTCCGTCCGTCCCCTTTCAATACTTTAACGAAGTGAAATCTCATGCTGTTGGGTGTAAAATCAGCAATAGACAGCGCAGAGACTTGTCCTACCAGCCCACCCTGCAGGGACCTGTTTTAGTTGGCAGAGGCGTGCAGGGGAGGAATGACTCAACGCGATACACTCGGGTACTGAGGGGTCACTGAAGGGTAGGGGAGGGACGGGGAGGAGTGGAGGGGAATGGGCGATAAAGAAGAGGAGGGAACGGAAGGAGGTGAAAGAGGGGGGCTGCTTCAGGTACAGGGGCAGAGTTGAGTCTGTGGGCAGTGTTGGGTCTATGGGCAGTGTTGAGGCTATGGCCAGTGCTGCTTAATGCAAAGGGGAAGTTGATTCCAGTGGAGGGGTGCAAGGAGGGAGAAGGACCGATCACGGGAATGGGCACAGGCAGCGTGAGAGGCAGATTGGGAACGAAGAGGAGGGTGACATGGAAGGAGTTGAGAGGCAGGGCCATGGAGAGAATTAAAGACTCGCGTCAGGTGTAAGGGGAGAGAGTGGTGTTGGAGGAGGGGCGTGGTGGTGAAAATTAAAGGGGAAGAATGAAAATAACCTCGTGCAGAAATTGTCGGAGGGGAATGCCCTCATCTAGCAGTGGATTGACAAAAGGACTGTGCACACTGAAGCCACGGGTGTCACGATACGACGTGTGTAGCTCGTGCGTGAGTTTGCCATGTTTACGATTCATCACGTGATAGTGTTTGTGTCTTTGTTCTGATCGCTATACCACGGGACTGTTGTTAGGGCTCCGTGTGTGTGAGCGTGTTACTACCACAGCGGGGAGCGGTAGTGTAGGAGCGGCTCGCGCGCAGCGCTACAAACCCGGCGACCCGATTTCGATTCCAGCTCACAGCCAACACTGGTGACGATTATCTGAACCGGTCCTGGGCCTCCCCTAGGTCGACTAAGCCTCAAATGAGTACCTGGTGCGGCGTGTAAACATCGCCACTGGGAAGCCTAAGGCCGGGCCTAGTGTTGGTCAGCCACCCCCTCGTGTGCCGTGCCGGCCTTCATAGGTGCTCGCTTCCAGCACTTGCCCCAACAGTCTGTCAAGGCGATACGGGGGATCTTTGTCTAGTCCGTGTATGTACACACTTGAGAAATAATTGGGGAGACGACCACAACAAGTGAGATCTTAAGCCGTGAAATGTCACGGGGCATTTTGCAAAGCTGTATATATACATATATATTCATCTGTATGAAATCAACACAAACTACTGTGGCTGTGGAAAGTGGCCAACATCTTTCCCACCTTTTGTTTTAATAAAAAAAAACTTAAAACAGATACCATGATACATTTTTTTAAACAACAAATTGCCGAATGTTAATTTAAGTTAATCAAAACAATACTTTACATACTCGTGTGTTCACACCAAAAGTTAACTTGGGCCATAACACAAGACCGCGGATCTCATTTTGAACACGAGACACGACAGACGTCACCGAAGCCCTGTGCTAATGGTCAAATGACAAAAAATTCTCATTTTGTGACATCTGAACATACACCACACACGATGACCATATCAGCGGAGAAAAAAATAGTTAAAACAATATCATGTACCTTTAAACAGCGTATGATCAAATAATCTGGTATGCAGCCAATCTCGTTTGTTCGGGCTTGAAAGCTCAGCAGCGTTGAGTCTGGAGAGTGCTTGGATGGGTGACCACTTAAGCACGCATTTTTATTTATTATCATAGAGATGGCAAGAGCTTCATGGTGGCCAGTGCATCAACATACATGGTTGTGCTGTACTATGAACCAACGTCCATGTACTCAGCATGCGAGGTACGGTCAAAGAAACCCCAACGACCCGCATGGTGTGGGGCAGGGCCCTCATCCAGCAGTGGATTGACACGAGGGTTGCGCATTACGTCTGCTCAGGGTGCTTCAGCCGTGGGTGTCAAATGCCACCTTGAGAGTCACAAGAGACCGGTGGTTCATGGGTGTTTGCAACATCTTCGATTCCTCACGTGATAGTTGACTATTTTTTTTTTGCTCGGATTGATTCGCTTCATCGCTGTAACTTTGTTTTTGTTTCGCTTGTGCCGAGTTTGGCGACCCAGGTGACTCTTTGCAAATGTCCCCAATCCTGGTCTCTGGAGTTCTCACCCGGTTCAACAGAACACACTTTGGAACTTGAGAGCAATACAGCAGGTGGGGTAGCTCACAGGGTGTGTGGGAGGGGGAGTCTGGATGGACAAGTTGTAGTTTAAACTAAACTGTCAAACAATGTTTTCATTTTACCAGGTGAAACCCACGGAGTTATAAAGCTTAATGAAGTGGCTTGTCATCACGTGGACATTTATCGCAGCCAAATACTCTAAACGCGTGTTTTCCAATGTGGAGGCAAAAAAACAGAGGACCCAGAGAAAAAATCCACGTGACCATGAGGAGACACGCAAACTCCAAATATACAGCAGGCGTCAGCGTCGCAATCAAACCCACGACCTCCTACATATCAGTCGAGGGAGTTAACATCTCGCCACTGCGGCGAGTTGGCCCGTCAGTACACCCACTCTGTGAGCTGTTGGTTCCACGCTTCCCCCAACTACAGACGGCTAAATTCCACTCCCACCGTGGCCGTCAACTACCAACAACCCCGCGCCTCAGCAGACGAAGGCCACCAAATTACCAAGCTGGCCTAAGTGCCCCCCCCCCCCCCCAGCTCAACGGCTTTCAACATCCCTGCTGTAACGGGGTTACCAATTATTGCCCCAAACGGCATCACTCCGTAATTTACAAACTGATGCCATAACACACGTGGACGCTGTTGCTGCTGCTGCGATATAATGGTTGAGTGCGCTGGACTGTCGCTCTCCCGGCGTGGCAGTTTAAATAGAGACACAGAGAGAATTTCTAAAACTGTCCGCCCCCCACCCCGCCTCTGTCTACCCAACAGTATAAATGGGTATGCCGCAGTTATTGCGACAGGGAGGTTTGCATGCGTTGGGGTAAAGTGTGGGTGACTCTTGCTTCTTCGAAGATGCCCGGCTCGCGTGGAAGCCGTCCCGAGAGTAGATTGAGCTCTCACGAGCTCCCTCTGGTGGCAGCAGTGGGTGTGAGCAGGTCATTGCAAGGGCTGCAACTCTGTCTTAAGAATTAAGATTTTCAAGGTAAACCTTGATTTTCTACCCAAATATATCCAAAAGATCAAGCATGCTATATTTCATTACAAATCCAAAGAAAAACCATTTACTTTATTACAAAATAGATGTAATAAAAATCTGTGCCCTAGTTTTTTTTTTAAATGTAAACTCTTAGGAAATGTGCACATTTATGTTTCCATTGTTTTCGGAAAAAAAAGGTAATGCTTTAAAACAAAATACATACCTTGCACCGTGTACGTACATTGACAAACTTGCGAGTTTTAATATAATGTACACGCTTCGCAATCATCGTCAATAGTCATCACTGGGTTTACAGGAGCCAAATACGACGAAGTCAGCCGTTCAAACTGCTGCTGCACCCAAAGCGTTTACCATCGTACACCCGACTCTTTAAACCCCAACGCCCCCCCTCTCCCCGACTGTTGGCACGGCCCTCCAAATGGGGTCTCACCAACCCGGGGGGCTCCACCCCACTGTCAAACAAAAGGGCCTCAGTTATGTTCCATAAAGAGCTTCCTCACACACACACACTGTACGCGAGTCGGGCACAACAGTAGGGGCATTATTCCCGCATCTGCTGCACTTTCCAATCTCTGTGAGCTTGGAGGCTGGCCCAAAAATAAAAACCTCCCACATGATTACATAATCACAAAACCGAACAACAACAAAAAGCTCCACCACCTATACAACTTATAAACCGATAAACTAAAAAAATGTCGTAAAAACATTGGTTATGCCAGTTACACGACAGATTCAATAGGCGATACAAAGCATAGAAATGTTTAGTGAGCAGTGTTCCTACTGTGGAGTTACGTAAGGCATTAGCGGCAGCATGCGCAACGTTCATCACATCCTGCCCCTCGGGAGAAAAATAACTACTCAAATTCGCCACTCAATTAACAACAAAAGCGACTCGAATCTATACCACGTAATACAAAGAATATTTAAAAACCATCCAACACAAAGCAGAATGAAAGCGTTAACGGAGCTGGGCAGGGCGGGCACACGCGCGTGTCGTATTGCACATAGTATAAACAGCTTTACAGCTAAAGCAGACGTCCCCCTCCTCCACTGCATGTAGGGCAGCAGCAGCAGCACCATGACGAGCGCACGGCTAGGGGTGGGACGATACATCGGGGGTGGGGTTGGGGTGGAGCAATGCAATGTGGCTCGTTTGGCCTCGTCACGTATTCAAAAAGTGTGACGAATTAGCGATTGCATAACTTTTGGATCAAATGGTCCTTTCGGGATTTTTTTCGAGGATGATTTGATTGGTTGGCCTACGAAGTGGACTTTGGTAAATCTGACGACCATCCCACCTCTAGTATACGTAAGAAATCGCCACACTACGGTGCTAAAAAACAAACGTTAAGGCATGACGTGCGTGCTTATAGCAGCCTTCAATTAACTGGCTGGGGTGTTTACCCGGCATCGTTGTGTGGTCCAAGGAGAGGCCTGACAGAGACGTATTACCGGACGCTTGTTACATGGAGCATGCCGTGAACATGCTCTGGCACACCCACGTGTGTTTCTGGATGAATAGTTAATGTAGGAGGCGGATGGGTGCTTAATTGGCCTAATGGGTCTGGCCGTGTAAACACGTGGCTAATGTTATTGCCTGATACATTGGCAGGCTGGTTATGAGACTGGTTTGCTGGTTAGTGGACTGACTGCCTGGTTATGAGACTGGTTTGCTGGTTAGTGGACTGACTGCGTGGTTATCAGACTGGTTTGTTGGTTAGTAGGCTAACTGGCTGGCGAATCACTGGCTGGTTAGCAGACTGACTTTCTGTTTTGTGGACTGGTTGGCTGGTTACTTGACAGGCTGGATGGTTATCAAAATAACTGGCTGGTTAGCAGAGAGGCTGACAGGATAGTGGAAAGGCTGCCTGATTAGCAGACAGGCTGGCTGCAAAGTATGAGCTTCCCTGTAGCCAAATCACAAACTTGAGTGTAGCTTGCATTGAAAGCACGTGAAATGTTTGTTCTGCTACTATAACATTCAATCAATCAACATGTTCGTCAACATGCATTTCTGTCCCAGTGAGGTCGGCCAGTGTTGTCCATCAGTGCAAGTGCCCTGTTGTTCCACAGGGCACTCCTCAGCACAATTAAAACCCTGTCAATGTGTTACATTACTCGTTAAACGTGAGAGAAAAAAATCCTGCATTCCCCAACACCTGACACAGTTACCAAAATCGGAGCGGATGTTTTTCAGTGTCAAGACCCGGCTGTGCCCGACGTTTGAGTCTGATTGTACTGTGCGCTGCGATGCGGAGCTAACGGCTTCACGACGGGACGGACGTCCCTTCACTTGAGCGCGAGCGGCGAGTCGGGCAGGGTGAGGCGCAGCTTGCCCGTGTCGAACGCCGCGTCGGCCCTGGCGCCACCCCGGCCCGCTTCCTCCGCCTCCGCCCGCTGCTCGCTCCACCACCGCTGCTTGAAGCGCAGCTTCAGCGGCATCGTGGCGCTCCCGAGGGGCGTGCGGGGGTCGCGCGCCTCCAGGGACGACGGGAGGGGCGCGTTGGGGGACGGCGTCGGCGGCCGCGATGCCGCGGCGGGCGGGGGGGTGCCGTAGGGGGAGGGCGGCGACGGGCGAGGGGAGCTGGGCTCCGAGCGTTGCCGGCCCCCGTCCGGGTAAGCTTCGGCTTGCCTCGGTCTCCACGCGGATTTCCGTTCGCCCGTCGCCAAGCCGGCGCCGTGGCGGTCGTCCGCCGCGTCCATGTCCACGTCGTCGGCGTCCTCCGCCTTCGCTTCGGTCGCCGTCTCCGTCTTGACGCGGAGCGCCGAGGGGTGGCCGTTGCTCGCCGGGTAGGCGTCCGCGTCGGGACGCCGGTGGCCGTAGCATCTGTACGCGTTGTCCGCGCACGGTGGCTCGTCCTCGCCCGCGCTCTGCCGGCCCTTCCTTCCCGGAGGGGGCGCCTGCAGCTTCAGGGTGACGCTGGGCGCGTCGTCGCCACCGACGCCGTTGCCGCCGCCGCCGCCGCCGCCGCGCGGCGCGCGAAGGTCATCGCCGTAGAGACGCTCGTTGCTCACGAGACGGAGGTCGTCGTGGATACGGAGTTCGTCATCCCGGATACGGAGGTCGTCATCCCGGAGACGCAGGTGCGCGTGCGGGCGGGGAAGCGGCACGCGCGGGCTCAGGTGGTAGTTGTACACCGAGCGGCTCTGCGCCTCCAAGTACCTCCGCATGTCGTCGGGGTTGAACGAGAAGTGCGTGTGCCCGCCGAACGCGGGGCTCCAGGACGGCGAGGGGGTGAAGTTAAAGTGGCTGGGGGTGAGGGAGATGGCGGGCGAGAAGCCGGGAGAGAACGGAGGCTGGGGGCTGGCGAGGGGGGAGGCCCCGGGGTAGAGCAGCGGGTAGGCACGCGCGGGGTGGGCGTGGGGCCCCCGGGTGATCACAGAGCACTTGGTGGAGGCCGAGTCGTCGGCGGGCCCCCCGGGAGGCAGGAACGGGTGTTGGTGTGGAGCCGGACCGGGGCCCGGGTCGGAACCATCACCCCCGCCTCCTTCCAGCGGGGGGAAGTAAAAGTGGCTGATGATCGCCGGCACAGGCGGGGCGCTGGCTGGGACGGGGCCCACTGCACGGAAAAAGAGAACACAAAATTAACGACAGCCAACAGCGTAGGATGGCGAAACGTTCTGATTTTAGTCAAAAACAATTAAAGCTCAACTATTTTTATTTTACAAGACCCACTGAGCTATATAGCTCGAAACGTGGAGGGAAAACCCGGAGAAAAACCACACGACCACAGGAACATAAGACATGCAAACTCCACATATACAACAGGCGTCAGGGTCAGAATCGAACCCACGACCTCTTGTATACCAGGCGAGGTAGTTAACATCTCGCCACCGTGGCACAGGCCAAACGCTACAACCATCGTCGCTGCCATCATCGAGTGATGATGCTGTGGCAACACGTCGCTCTTAATCACAGCATTGTGCCCAAGGTACATTGTATTTCTAACTACGTGACTTTACCGAAAGAACCAAAGAGTATAGTGTTGATAAAGATGTTTTCTAGTTTTTATCGCGATGTCAGTACTTGACCACTAAGTAGCAACGCCTCCTCCAGCCAGTGTTGCACTACAAATGCCATTTCCACTTCAACTCACAACGATGCTTTCTGTGAATGCATGAGTTGTGACGTAAAAAAATTATAATTGTAAGTGCCCCGATTATTATTATTGGAGTAGAAGGCTACCCAGGAAAACCTCTGAGTCTAAATACTCCCAGTAAGGAGGGGTACCTTCTTGGGATGTTTGGCCAATTCTTTTGCTAGTGAGAACGATGACGTTGATGTCGTTCAATAACCATACCATGCTGTGCCTCTTGAATAACTTTTTCAACGCAATAATGAACAACGGGTATTGATTTACAACTTCGATCGCCAAGTGGTTTGACAAATATAAAATGCAGGACGATTACCAGGACATAACAATATATTTTCTCAAAATGAATGATACGACTACCGTGGGGACCTTACATCGTACGGTATTCTCAGTGTCGCCAAATCGCAGAAACCCTCTCCTACCAACACCGCCTGCCTGTATCAGTTCTCTCATCAGAGTGGAACGGCGTTCACTAACCTCCGGACAATGACAGGAATGCCAGTTCAAGGTAATGCCCTCTCCACAGGCACGGTGAACAACAACAAGGGGGGTGAATAATAATAAAAGATAAACACGGACACAAGTGCACCGCTGTTATTTACGCTGCGCCTACGACCACATCGCTCACAACGTGCTCCCCTCCATTCCGTCAGACCTCCGAAGCCGGGGTTTAAGCCTGGATCGTCCTTGGATGGATGGGCGACCATCGCGGTCAAACGGGCTGCTGTTGCTGCAGGGCTTGCAAGGCAGGTACACGACGGTGGGCAGAAGGCGATGCGGCAAAACCCGTTGTTGTACTGCACTGCTATGCGCCCAATTATTTGTGCCCTGCCTTCACCAGCTCACTTTAACCAGCGTGGTGAAGTATGGCCAAATTACTGCCATCACCGGAATAGCGTCAGGAGGCCTTTATCCAGCGGTGGACTGACAGACCTTTAAGTCATGAATTTATGCGCTGCTTTTTGCAGGGCCTTATTGACGTCATAAACAATTAAGAAAAATCACGCAAATGCAATGTTACCTTCCAAGCCACACTATGAGAGATGACGTCACACATAAAGGTGTCATGGGGAGGAGAGGCACTTATATATTTCCTGCTATTTTTTTTTATTATCGCCAAAGGGTAACCTATATCGATCAATGGCAATTATGTGATCAATAGGGCCAGTTTTCTCGAGGGCAATTCATGATCCCATATTACAGACAGACAGAGAGAGCCAATACACAAAAACTTTCAACCTTGGTTTGAAAGCTTTAAAATTACTTTTTCACAAATAATCAAGGCCCACATTCATAATTGTCTCGTCCAATGCACACACGCTTCAATAAATTGTGACTTTTGGTGCTAAAGCTGTAGAGGAGCATTTCTATTCCGCACAATAGTTTAGTCTCCCGATTCTCTGGGCCGAGGCTCACGCAGGCACTTATAATAATTGGACCCTTGCAGAGTGTGCAGAGAGCATCGCGTTCAAGCCCACGGCCCGGTTAGAATGATGTCACGTACCGCCACTCAGCGGAGCGGCGTGTCCCGCACGCTTTATTGTCTGTTTTTCCAGGAAATCTACCGCGTAGGTTTTAGCGCTCGAGCTGTATGGCTCTCCCTTTTGTGCTTTCGGGTCGTGCCGCGTACAGAGCGTCGTGCGGGACGACGTCCAACGTTTCGCTCTGCGTACTGCTGGCAGATTCTTCGGAACTGAATTAATTTACGCTGCTGTAATTATGCGCTCCCCAGAAGGCTGTGCGGCTGGTGAGATGTGTCAACAATGCTTTTATTATTTTATGTAAAGGGACAGATATTTGGAAGGTGTATTGTCCCGCTTCGTATTACCTATCATCACCCAGAAATGTCTGTCCGTCCCGCGCGTGACGTCACTCAACGAGGCCCACCCCCCCGTGTGACGTCACTCCACACGAGGCCCACCCCCCCCCTTATTAATATTCATGAGTGGGTGGATTTTTACACTAACGCAAAGGTCGAGATGAATTAAATAATTTATTACGCCAAGTCGCTTCAAAGATGACGTTTCGTTAAAGAAAGTGACGGTAAAAAATAAATCTACGCAGCACAGTGCTACATCAGTGCGTGACGTCACTGCAAAAGAGCCCCCCCCCCCTTCATTAATATTCATGCCCGCGTGGAAATTTACACTTGCGCACAAGGTCGCGCACTCCACATGGCACACTCCTCCCCTCATTAATAATCATTAGCGGGTGACGTCACTCCACATGGGGCAACCCCCCTCCCCTCATTAATAATCATGAGCTGAACAATTTTTCTATTGAATATTTCAGATTTGATGCAATATACACCTGTCCTTGGGACGGTCAAAATAGCTAGTTTTTATTAGTTAAGTCTCCACAATGACGTGAATTATTATGCTATGTCATTTATATTGGATCTGGAAAAGAAATTAAATGAATGTGTTGAGCAAACGATCAACTCTACGTCTGGAAACGATTACCTCTACAGCTGGAAAACACCATCAAAAAAGAGGGAACTGCAATGGTTTGGCCGTTTCACGAGGCGGAGCAGCAACCTCACGAAGAGAGTGCGTCAGCAGGGAGCGGCTGAAGGAAAGAGAGAGGAAGACAAGAGAAGAAAGACCCCGCTGGGAATCCGCCAAGCGGTGGACTGCAGAAACTCTACCCGAGCCGCGACTCCACGAGTCCCGAGACGGCACGCGCTGGGGGAAACGGACAGCCGAGTCATCGCCAAGGGCACCCCGACGATCGGATCTGTCCCGGGAATAGCAGTCGGAGTGGTCAAACTGGGGTCACCTTCATGAAAGTTATCGCGACCCCCCATGCTGGAGACTGACATGCGGACGAATGAAGACAACGCTTCCCAACTAATTTCCCGGTGATGCGGAGCCAAACGTCGCGGGAAGAGTCTCCGAACAAAACGCGAGCGCCTCAACCGGAAGGCATGTCGGAGGAGTTGCTTTCGCGGGCGGCGCTCGAGCGCTTGCTCACCCTTGTTCCGCGCATCCACCCCGCCGTAGTTTGAGAGCACCAGCTTGTTGACGTTGAACTTGTAGGTGTAGCGCTTGCCCTTGGTCTTGTACAGAATCCTTTTGTTGTAGTAATACCTGTGGGCGCGTTTTACGCAACTGTTAGATCGGCGGTAACGATCGACAATCACTCTCCTCTACTGAATTGGAACCTCCCATTCGCGGCTGAATGATTTTGCTTTAAAAACATGATTCCGTGAATTTAATATACGAGCAAGTTCACATTTAAATCATTTGTGAACCGTGTTTGGTCTAAATATCAGGAATGCACCCAATCTCATCAATCTCAGAAGCTAAGCAGCAGGCCTATAGCCAGCATAGCACTCAAACAGGTGACTGCCAAGCACAAACACAGATTGTCATCACGGCAGTGGGGTTGGGTGGTAACGGCAGGAAAATGCACGATACTTTTATGCTCCAACGTTTGTTCCCGCTGCCTTCGCCAACCGGCACCGACCAGCGTGGTAAGGTCTGGTCAATCAACCCCCAAGACTCGCACTGACCAGCATTGTAAGGTACGGTCAACCAACCGGCACTGACCAGAGTAGTAAGGTACATTTAACCCCCCCCCCCCCCACGACTCGCACTGCATGGGGATGCCCTCATCCCGCAATAGGCTGACACAAGTTAACATTTACACCACAGTGCCACTGGACAGGAGGTGATAGCCGGAGGATTGGTGACCTCATGGCCACGTCACACTGGGTGGGGGGGACTTGCTGGGGTTTCCCACCTTCAGGAGGCTGTTGGAATGTGGGGGGGGGGGGTGGCTGCCACTTTTAAAGGGGGTCCCAAGTAATCGACCACAAACAAAAATTGTTCTCAACGTATCGGTGCGGCTCTCATGAAACGACTCTTTATCCGGCGCGTACACAGCGTGTCTGTGCATGCCCCCCCTCCTCTCTCTCCTTCACGGACGCGAGCGTACCGCAGCGCGCGGCTCAGCTTGTCGTAGTTCATGTGCGGCTTGCACTTGCGCGCTCCCCAAAGCCGTGCCACCTCCTCGGGGTTCTTGATGATAAACTCGCCGCAGTCGCCCTGCCACGCGATGACGTGCCGGAACTCGCGCTTGCCCAGCAGCTCCAGGATGAAGTGCCACAGCTGCACTTGCCGACAACCAGGACTCAGGTCCACGCGCTCCAGCCCCGGCGAGTCTAAACACATGTTGGGGGGTAAGAGGTGGGGGGGCGGCATTGTTAGGCTTGGCCAACATTCCACTCTTGGCTTCGTGGGTTTATTAAACGCTCTACAGACCACCAGACACTGGTCAAAAGCCTATCACCACTAAAAGACTGTAAATACACAAGCCGACTGAATGTTCAGTTGCTGTGGCAGCTAAACTCGGTACTCAGGAATTAAAAAATCAGGGAAGGAAAATGACGCATGAGCACGACTTCTATAATGATTTCCGACCTGTATTTGTCCTCTAGGGATAATCATACGTGTTAGGTCTCAAGCATTACCCTTGAGACTCACAGTTTTTCACAATTCTGAGAGTCTCCAAACCGTACAATGGATTTTTTATTATTTACTTGTAAATAATTACACTTAACACTCGGTCCAACTTATTGCAGTGCACACGCAGCTGCTGCCAATGGTTCAGGTCTTATGTAATAGTCAGCTTATAGCCTGTCTATGAAGAAGGGCCACTACCCAAAATGTCTCCGTTATTATATTTTTTCCTTTCATAAGAAGTTAAACTTCGAGGCAGTGTTATCGATTCATCACTTGAGCTTTTTTTCAACTTAAATAAAATGCTAGTATCGAGTTGTATTGCTAATAGGAACTTGCCCTATAGGAAACCAGTCAAATTGATTAAAAGGGGTTACCCAAATCCTGGCAACAAAATTACCAACCGCTAAAACGGATAAGGCTTATTGGCCAGAGCAATAACATTACACACATCACAAGCTCATGCCCCCCTCCCACTATCTACCCACCCCGTGGCGTGATTTCCAACACGCGCATGAACAACTACTACTCATTTTACTTTACAGTCTTTGTCAATTACTACTGGATGAAGTCCCCCCCCCCTGCCGAACCAGTTGTGGGGGGTTGTTTGACCATAGTTCATCAGCCTTGGCTGAGAATTAAACTCAGGTAGCAGTGTTCATATTAGCGTGCTAACTAGTCCACCACCGCTCACATTAACAATTCCAATGCTCTTAACAAATGGTTTCCGATTCTGGCAGTTGTAGGGCCTAGTTACATTATGCATCCCCACAGACATACTATTCAGTGCATGATGTACAACATTTCTACACAGTTATTTGCATTTTTAGGCCTGGCCATGCATTTATCTGGCAGTGGCTTGATCGTGGCTGATGATGTTTATCATTCCCAGCGCGAGCCTGCAATTGCTGCTTTGCACGGTGTCACTTGAGGTCCACTAGATGGCAGTGAATATGTACCATGTCATTGGCCAGGTGGGTATTACACATTCAAAACGATGGCTTACCAGAGATTTCCAGGACACTGGGCTGTACCACTAATTACAAGGTACATTGTGATGAATCACCAGCTCAAAGGAAGTCGGGCTGTACCACTGATGAACAAATACACAGGGATGTTCAACGTTACTATAAACATGTAACTAAGTACGGTAACATTACTGAAATGAAAGTATTGTTCTGCATTGTGCTAAGCAGTATGTCACTAAGTTCAGGAACGGCTATGTATTGAATTTAGCGGAAGCCACGTAGCAGAGTCATTAACTAATCCTACAGTTGTGTACGTCAGGGATGATCACACTTTCAAATTACTGTCAAGTTTGTGAGTTTCGTGTTGTTTCGGCCTGTTTGCGTTCTCCGATAGGCGTGATATTCGATTACACAATCTGTAACGGGATGCTTTCATGTTCAAGTTTACAATGAACTCGGCGTAAACACCGACCGGGTTCTCGTTACACTGTATGCCTGTCTGCATTTTACCCTGTCAGAAAGTTCGATTTATTTTCTTCCTCTTTCCAATGTTAACATTTGAAATGGGTTATTACTGATTATTATGATGTAATGTACAGCCCTTTATCGACCTACTGCTAGATGAAGGCTTCCCCACACCATAGCGATCACCGGGGTTGTTAGTTGTTGGATCATGCTTCACGTCTTGTCAGCGAGGTTTGGCCAAGGTAGTGGGTGGGGGAAGGAGGGGACTCGCCACTGGACAATAGCCGGGGGCCAGGCATCGAACTCAGGTCGCTGGGTTCATAGCGCAGCGCGTGAAACCAATGCAACCACTGTTCCAGCCTTACCGACTGTGCGTGGTCATTTATGCCACGTTTGCAGTACTGTACTGTACGCAATTGTAGTACTGTACTGTACACCAAATCGCCCCGCATTCCTCAAAACTCGGAAACGGGCGATTCTGGGACAGTGCTTGGATGGACGATCACACCACGCGCAAAAGACCGGTGTGATCATTGGCACTGCGGATTTACCCGTACCAACCATATTGGGAAAGTACGGTCGAAGATACGAAATGGCCTGCAAGGCCCTCATCCAGTGGTGGATTGACAAAAACAGGTCGTGCGTGTACGTACGTGTATGACAGATGGCTGAACATGGGGTCAAGGGGGACAGCAGAGACACCATGCCAGGACTTTTAAACGAACCTTGGACTGAGTGAACTCCCTCCAAATGCTTTTCCGTGCAATCACCCCGTGGCACTGAGAAATGGACTGACTTTTAACAAACCAACCTTGGACCTTTGCGCCTGCCTTGCCATTGTATAATAAATCCCCCCCATTGTATAATTGTAATTAAGCCATATTGCATAACTGTAGTTAGCCAGCATACGAATAGTGTGTGGCACCAGTTCGGAGTGATGACTGTACAATAATAACTTGCAAACACCAGGATGGAAAAAACCATGGAACATACTACATTTGCATTGTTGTTCTTAACTGCTTGGTAATAAGTGAATAACCCAGCTAATGTACACATGGACACATAGTAATGATGCCTGTGTGTGCCTGATTGACATTCAGACATCTATGACAATCAGGCCATAGTCAGCACGGCTCTGGTATTCAAACACTTAACCTACACAGAGCACATGTCTATAAATATAAATCAAAACCAGTTGCTGTATGCCACTAGTTGTGTCGCGTGATATTATAGGCGACCAGGAATTAATTTAATCCAGGTCTGTCCTGGAAAGCAACGCAGAAAACATGTTCGCACCCAGCAGACCACATTCAGTCCACCACAGGCTGTGGCTACGACTCATCACATGCCACCTACTCCAGTCTAACAGCGACCCGAAAATATTGAGAAATGAAACCATGTTGGTAACCAATTGATAATTAGCACATTCCTCTGACATTCCTCTGACAATGTCGCCAATGATAGCACGGTGATGCGGGTTCTTTAGCCGGGGCCCAGCCAATCAATAAAGATGGTCAGCTGATAGGTCCCTGTGTAACACGACTATCAGCTTGTCATTTCACAATGGCTTCTACAAGCAGCCAGCCAGCCGGCCAGCATCACGGGGTTCCTTCCTCGCATTCACCAACACCACCCACGACTCACGAGACCGCCCAAGTCACGACGCGCCGAGTTCTGACCGCCTAATGCCTTTAATCGCGCTTTAACTCTCGGCTTCTGCGTAGAGGTTAGAGTTAAGGTCGTGGGGTCCACCCCGCCGCGCAATGTCACTTCCACGCAGAGCCAAGGCGCCGTGCCCTCCTCCTCGCTCGCCACGTGTTCCTGGCACTCATGGCTGTCAAGTTTGGGGGTCGTGAATACGGTTAGGTTTTACCATTCGGCGCTAAGGGAGGCGGCAGACGGTAAATAAAAAATAATTACAATACACAGCCCCCTTTGTCAAACAGCTGCTGGATGAGGGCCTCACCACACTGTGCTGGTAATGGGGGGGGGGGCAGGGGTGGTTATTTGTCCATACTTCTCCACGCTGGTCAGCGAAGGTTGATGAATATCGCCTGTGAGTTGCAGCGTCAGCAGGGCAGGGTGGGAGGGGATGGTGTGCGTTTTGGGAGGTCGTGCTTTTACGTGTTTTTGCGAGTTGTCAGGACGGAGTGGGGGAAGGGGGCTTTAGTGTGCTTGGTGGTGGTGGTGGTTGTAGGGCGCGGTGCACAGTTATGGCCGTAAACTTCGTGAGATGACCAGTGTGTTCGCGTGTGATGATGATGGGGCGCTATTGCGTGTGTCACACGTGCAACGCGTGTGTGCGTGTGTCACACGTGCAACGCGTGTGTGCGTGGCGGCAGTGTTGCTTGTAGTGATTGTCCGTACCGATGGTACCAACTGCGTATAACACAAACAGCACCACAGAATGTGCCGAAGTGCAGCGTGTTTTTTCAGCCATGTGTGGCTGCCACTTAGGTGGCTTTGCGATGCGTGATACATTAACCATGCCACTACTATACGTAGAGTAACTGTACTTACCTTACTGTACCTAAAGTAACGTGATACGATACTGTAAGCAGTGACTAAGCACAGTAACGGCACGATTAAACTTGCATTAACCTGTACCGTTCATGTAATTGTAAGGATAGAAGCCACTCAAACCATTCACCACAGACTTCCACAGCATCATGCAAATGAGGGATGAACGTATGGTGTGTTAAGCGAGTGTTGTTTCAGTCTGTTTACATTCTCCGATAGACATGATAATTCGCGACCCAATTTGTAACATATGTTCAAGGTTACAAATAACGCAACTAATTAAACAAACTTTTTTTTTACTCAAAACAGTATGCCACTATGAAGCTCTCTTGCAAAGACATTCGCAGTCGAGTAATCCACTCTGCGGCACTATGCTAGGATTCAGTTGTAACAACCTGCAGACTTCCCACTGCCCAGTTAAGTCCATGGGCTAGCGAAACAATTAGTGCAGTGCCACCGAATGTAGCAAAACTCTAAATACATTGGAGCAACTCAAGTGATTAAATATAAGGTGGTACGGGGACAAGTGAAACATCTGGACTCGGCTTTAGGACTAAGTCGGCCCGGTGTTTTAGCAGAGTCTTCAATCAGTCTAGAACGCGAGTTCTGACACCTCCGATTAGCACGGTTGGCTACGTACGGTGGGAAAGAAGTTCAACATCCATACAAAAGAATCAAACACACGGGACACTGACTAAAGAGGAAACAAAAGCTGAAGAGCGCACAAAGAATCATGCAGAGGGACGTACTTGGAATTACACCCAGATATAAAACGTGACGGGATGAGGTCAACCACCACGGACGATGGCGTTACGAGGTCAGTCTGTGACGTGCAGGAGGAGTGAGACGAGATGGCAGCAGCACCGGACCACGTGAGGGATGGCGACAGAGTGTAAGAGGCCTTCATCCAGCAGTGGATGTGGTCATGGCTGCTGCTGACGACGACGACGACGATGATGATGATGATGGATCTATAAGCGTTTGGGACCGGTTGACTAAAGAATCTCCGTGGCGTGTCGAGGCGAGTGCAAGGCCCACGCATTGTTTTCGAGAGAGTTTTTGTGTGTGTGTGTCATGGCCGAGAAGTGAAGGCACGCCCCTTCAAGGAAGCGGGGCCTCCGCGTGGTGCGTTAAAGGTCGCAGGGCCCTGCTGCGTTACGAACTCAAAAAAGAGAATGATTGTGTCGCGAGATTTGGGGGCTTTTTCGGTCATTCCCAGCGACGAAGTCTTGTCAAAGCGACAAACAACCGAGCGACGTTCTGCAACGAGGGCGTGATGCAGATTTAGACGGGTTCGCGAGTTATTTGCATTCGGGATCGTGCATTGGTTAACGTTGTTTAATACTGTACCAGGTCAATTATCCTGCAACGAATTAGTAAGGTCCGTCCGTATCTGGTGTCTTTTTTAGGTTAATTTTTACAACTTTCCACGTTCAGGAGTTGGAAACCTTTGCAGGGCTGCAAGCGATTTGTCTCCAGAGGAATGGGGAGGGGGGGCTCTTATAATTACGATAGAACAAAGACGAGTGTCGACCTTAGTGTAGAGTCAAAAGTGGATTCGGTGTGGAAGCTACAGCGTAATCATTGGTCCCTTCTGTAGGTAAACGTAACAAGCTGTCGTGTGGACGCTAATCAAAGCCACATGACCTTCGGGGGCCACATTGCAGTAAACCTAAAATCCCGAGCACCCACTAAAGGTTGCCCATCCAACACGAACTGGAATGTTGTGTTTAAAGAGTTCTGCAACACTCGCAAGCATTCCTGTGGCCCAGGAGCACACGCACACACGCACACATACACGAGAGATACACACACGCACACACATACACGAGAGATACACACACGCACACATACACGAGAGATACACACACGAACACATACACGAGAGATACACACACGCACACATACACGAGAGATACACACACGAACACATACACGAGAGATACACACACGAACACATACACGAGAGATACACATACACGAGAGATACACACACGCCACACACCCAAGATACACACACACGCCACACACCCAAGATACACACACACACGCCACACACGAGAGATACACACACCAAAGATACACATACACGCCACACACCTAAGATACACACACACGCCACACACACGAGAGATATACACACGCGACACACCAGAGATACACACACCAAAGATACACACATACATGCCACACCACCCAAGATACACACCACACGCCACACACCCAGATACACACACGCCACACACCCAAGATACACACACACACACGCCATACACGAGAGATACACACACGCACATACACGAGAGATACACAGACCCAAGATACACACACACACGCCACACACACACGAGAGATACACACACGCCACACACACACGAGAGATACACACGCACGCACACACATGAGATAGGGTCACGCACGCACACACATGAGATAGGGTCTCGCACACACTAGAAAGGAGGACACACACAAGATAGGGGCACACGCGAAACAGATACACACAAGAGATAGAATGATGGGGTACACACGCACGAGCTATCATGGGATACAGTACTCACAGCACAGACATTTCATACATGGATTGTACATGACTCGCTCACATGGGCTAGACGGACACACGATAGATTAAAAACCCATGTGAGATCATGAGGACACTGGATAGACCGATAAAGAAGAGCTAGACAGGATAGCCACACATGGGCTAGTCGGACAGGATGCGCAGGGTAAACACACACTAATCAGGATCGACAAACGTGAGATATACATAATACACATGGGATAGACAAGACACAAATGGAGCAGACAGATTTACTTGGGATAAGCTGCACACAAAGAAGTGACATGATCAAGACAGACACACATACACATGCACCAGACATACACGAGAGCGAGAAAAATACACCTGGGCTAAACACATGAGCTAAAAAGACATGCTAAACAGAAAGTACACACACACGGCAGAGAGACACGCGTGAGCTAGATGGACACATGCGGCACAGGCATGCACACCGAATAAACAAGAGACAGGCATGACAAATGCAAACATGAACTACACACACATGAGCTAGACACACACAACGGACCTAAACACTCGTATATATGGAGACATATATACATATACACACAGGACAGACATACATACACAAGGCAGATATACAAAGAAATATACACAGGTTAGACACACACAGGGTACACACACAGGGCGGGCAGACACATAGGGCTGACGGACACACACACACGGGACACACACACATTGGCCAGACACACACACATGGGAGACAGGCGGACACACAGCAGGACATAATAAACAGATACAGGGCAGACACACACGGGACACACACACACACATTGGCCAGACATACACACACAGGACACACACACATTGGCCAGACACACACACACGGGACACACGCACACATTGGCCAGACACACACACACGGGACACACACACACATTGGCCGGACACACACACACATTGGCCACACACACACACACGGGACACACACACACATTGGCCAGACACACACACATTGGCCAGACACACACACACGGGACACACACACACACGGGACACACACACGGGACACACACACACATTGGCCAGACACACACACACATTGGCCAGACACACACACACGGGACACACACACACATTGGCCAGACACACACACATTGGCCAGACACACACACACACATTGGCCAGACACACACACGGGACACACACACACATTGGCCAGACACACACACATTGGCCACACACACACACACGGGACACACACACACACACATTGGCCAGACACACACACGGGACACACACACATTGGCCAGACACACACACGGGACACACACACACATTGGCCAGACACACACACACGGGACACACACATTGGCCAGACACACACACACGGAACACACACACACATTGGCCAGGGACACACACACGGGACATACACACACATTGGCCAGACACACACACACGGGACACACACACACATTGGCCAGACACACAGACACGGGACACACACACACATTGGCCAGACATACACACACGGGACACACACACATATTGGCCAGACACACACACACGGGACACACACATTGGCCAGACATACACACACGGGACACACACACACATTGGCCAGACACACAACGGGACACACACACACACATTGGCCAGACACACACACGGGACACACACACACATTGGCCATACACACACACACGGAACACACACACACACTGGCCAGACATACACACACGGGACACACACACATATTGGCCAGACACACACACATATTGGCCAGACACACACACACACGGGACACACACACACACTGGCCAGACACACACACACTGGCCAGACACACACACACATTGGCCAGACACACACACACGGGACACACAAACACATTGGCCGGACACACACACACACACTGGCCAGACACACACACACTGGCCAGACACACACACACACATTGGCCAGACACACACACACACGGGACACACACACACATTGGCCAGACACACACACGGGACACACACACATTGGCCAGACACACACACGGGACACACACACACTGGCCAGACACACACACACTGGCCAGACACACACACACACATTGGCCAGACACACACACACGGGACACACACACACATTGGCCAGACACACACACGGGACACACACACATTGGCCAGACACACACACGGGACACACACACACTGGCCAGACACACACACACGGGACACACACACACATTGGCCAGACACACACAAGGGACACACACACACGGGACACACACACTGGCCAGACACACACACACACTGGCCAGACACACACACACGGGACACACACACACATTGGCCAGGGACACATGGGCTCGCGGCGTCGCTCACGCGAGACGCGTGGCCGTGGGGGGGTGGAGGTTTTGGGGGGGGGAGGGGCGGGAAAGCTCGGCCAGGAAATCCGCGTCGCGGCGAAAACAGGAACCGTGACGTCACACAGACATTAGCGAGGGGGGGGGGCGCGGGGGATTAGGAGGGGGGGGGGCAACGAGTGTGGTGGTGGTGGGGGGCGACTTGGGAGCGAGGATCGGCGCCTACGGTAGAGTCCGGCGACGGCGGCGCGAGAGAGAGAGGAAAGCCCTGGGCCCTGGCACAAAACTCGTAAAATGCCTCCCCCGCGCACGATGCGGTGGTGGCGAGTTGATGGACGCCGAGGGGATGGCCACCACTTACATGGGGCCGACAGACCGGACTCGCCGCAGACGCTGGCTACACAGCCCCCCTCGAGTCGCCTCCTAAAGCGACCCCCCCTGCCCCCCTCCTCCTCGCAGACCCTCCTTAAAGTAGCCCCCTCACCACCGCCAAAAGTGCCCCCCCCACCCACCCCTTACGCGCGCTCATCACCCCCCCTCAAGCCGCGACGCAACTTCACCCGCAACGCGCACGCACCTCGCTCGGCACCGTTCTTCATGGTCGCGGCGCCGGGGTAGAGTGAGGAGGGGGGGGGGGAAGATCTCCGTCGCCCGCGTCTCTCACTCCTCCGAGGGTCCGTGGCTTCCGTCCCGTCGGTCCGTGAGGAAGCTCGCGCGGTGCAAGGGAGTAACGAGGAAGGGGAGAGGGGGGAGAGAGAAAGAAAAAGAAGAGTGACGGCGCCGATAGAGATGGCAGAAAGGAGCGAGTCGCCGGGGCGCACTAAAATAAAAAGTGTGCGCCGCCCGCCGGCCGGGACGTGAGGGCGCTCGGCTTCGCACCGCGATGACCGCGCTCAGCTCGCGCCGCCCACGCGCGCACGATGTAACCCCCCCCCACCACCACCGCCCCCTCCCCCACCCACTCTCGCGTTATTATAAAAGCCCCCCCCCCCGCGTACTCGCCCGCGTCACACGCATCCCCCCACTCCCGCCGCTATTCACCCCCCTCCCAGCTCCGCCACCTCCCCCCTTCCCCCATCTCCCAACTACCCCACCCCCTCTCCCTCTGACCAATAGCCGCTCTGCAACCCCTCCCCGGCGCGCGTGCGTCACGCGACCAGTCCCGCCCCCACTTGCCCCCTTCCCCCCACCTTCCAGCTGCCTCCACAGCCAACACGACTACAACAGAGGCACCCGCGGGCGCGTGCGTACGTCACGCGCCCAAGCCCTGCCCCCCTCCCAGCTGCCCCCACCCCACTCCGAGCCCCTCTGCCCCCCTCCCGCAACAGTGGAACCCGAGCGCGCGGACAACCCCCCCCCCTGGCCCCACGTTATTGACCCCACCCCCTTTTTTACGCCCCACCCAAACTCCCCTCCCCCACTCCACACCCTCACCAATTTGCCCGTCGACCCCCTCCCCTAACGTCTCAGCCACCCCCCACCGACCACCACCGCTCGAGCGCACGCGCGCGTCATGGCCTAAAAACAGCACGCGCGGGGGGCAGGGGTTGCAAGAAGTGGCGGGCTCGCGGGGGTGTGGGGGGGGAGGCGCGTGTCAACCCGGAACGTCGCCCCCCGCGCGTTGCTAGGCGACGCGCGGGGCGTGACGTCACGCGCCCGGGCGAGAAGGAGGCTTGGGAGCGAGCAAGGGCCGCCTTGCTCTGAGCCCCCAGGCCGAGGCCGCCTCTGGGCGATGCTGCTCGTCGCAGGCTGCCGTGGCGAGCAGCCGCGATGGCGTGCGTCGTCCTTTCCACACCTCCCGCCGCCTGCCAATGTCTTTCCTGACCGTGGTCTGTGGCGCAATGAAACAGCCAGGCCGTCGTTTACGGACGCGACCTTAACTCCGACCCGGACCCAAACTCTTAAATTCCCTGGCCTCGCAGCTGACCCGAGCCTGCAGCCTCCCGGCTTCGCACTTCATCGCCGACAGCAGATGGGTCAAGAGCCGTAACAAAAACATCGCATGGGACGCTGCTAATGGCATACTCGAATTTGGTGCGTCACTTCAAACGATTGGAAAACACCCCCAACAACTCCCCAGTCTTACTCATCCCGGAGTAAACATTTCTGAAATTCACTCTGCATCTTCTAAAGCTCAGATGCCCTTCCGCGGCCATCTGGAACGCTCTTCCGATATTAGGAAGCCATTGGAGCAATGCACCCTCAAATCATCTAGATTTCAAACTAACTTCTGTATAACTGCGTTGTGTGTTGTTTGTTGTACTCCCGCACCTCCACTTAGCACGGTTGGTTACGTATGTTGCGAGAAAAGTTCAAAACATCAAACCTTAACGTCGCTGTAAATTGTTGATATCGCTCCATAGACCATTATTCCCTAGCCTAAATACACTTCCCTTATGTAAATATTGTATGTAGTGATACTGTATATATATTTCGGTAGGTAAGAGGTTAGTGGGGTTTTACGGTTTGGGTATTCCATGTTGCAGCAGATAAAAAAAACCCACCACTGAAATTATAAACCAAACTTCCAAAAACATTACTGCTTTTTCCCATCAGAAAAAAATGCCCGGGGTTTCAACCTTAAGGTGATGTTACAGTTTGCATAAAAACAAATCTTTCAGAATGTTTTTTTCTTCGCCGCTTTAAGTAACTGAAGGGGACTTCCCTAACGTTTTCAAGGCATCCGGCAGTGGTCAAAGTGGGCTCTTTTACATCCGGCAGTGTGGCCTTATGCTGGGAAATCGGCAATTGCCCTCAGCGCCCAGTGGTTGTGGTGGAGAAGTGTCGTTTGCATAATGACCCCGAGTAACTGACCTCTCTAAACATCTGCAGTTCGCCAACATTGGTTCAATCGACCCCGACTCTGACAGTGACACAGAGAATGTACGGTCCAGTAGTTTGCTTGTGTTGAACCCATGCTGCTGAAATTATTCACTCCCAAAGGGCCGTGTTGTTGATCGAATCTAAAACATGTATGTTTTTAATGTGGACGGACAACTCTGGGAATGAGGCGTGTGTTGTCTGCTTGTTTATTTTGTTACTTATATTCTCCAAGACAACTCTCGTGAATGTTTCAGTAACTGGTGGGCTGTGGTAAATGGCTGACTTATGCAGTGGCTATGCTATGCAAAAGCAAACCAAATAACATGTTAGGGCCCCAATTAACTCAAGGGGCCCCGGATTCATCACAAAAAAATGGGGGTGCATGAAAAATCAGCTCAACTTAAAATCCTAATAAATATAACATAATGAACATACATCCCAAATGAATCACAACTCAATCTTGTCTGCACATCTCATCTAACTACATTAATATTTGTTGTCTACATTATCTTAGTTCACTTCATCTATATCTCTGATCTATATCTCTTCTGTCATCTCAGGATTATTGTGTAAATTGACAGGGGAGCCCCCCTATTATCAATTCTGCTGAGGGTTCCCAATGGGATAAGCACCACCACCACCGGTTTGCAGCACTATAAAGCCAAAGAAAATGCATCCAAGGGCCCGACAGCCGCGGAGATGGAGCACTGACATCAGTTAATTTACGGGCAGGAGATGGATGGAAAAGCAACACGGGAACCACACGGGATGGACGACGACATGGGGATGGCGTCATCCAGTAGCGGGATAGACAATGGGCGATGAAGATGATGATGACTAAGAGCAAGCTGCATTCTGAATGTGCGCGGATGAGTCATCCTCGTATTCTAGGCCACGTCACGCCCATGGCTCTGCAATTGTCTGCCTCTTGCAGCACAGTGGCTGACCACGGGTGCAAGATAATGCCGTAGAAATTCGTGTACGATGCTTGTCCGGGGCTTCACAAGCTTTCCAGTGTTAATTTTGTTGCACGAAAATTCGTGATGGAAATATCCGTCAACAAAGTGGTTATTTTTTGGTCGACGATGGCTGTCAGTGGACGAATTTCACGACGCCCGACAATGAACTGGACTGACCGCCAGTGACGTAGTAAGCATGACTAAAAGTAACAAAATCGATAAGCAGTCATTACACCTGCAGAAATCTGTTCCCTCTGCGTACACATTTAAAGTATGCTTTACACATCCCATCAGCTACACGGTCTTTATGACGACATTAAAATGGTAATTAGCTAGAGTGCATAATTTACGTATATTTCAAATAATAAGAATCATCGTGAGTTCACTTGATGGCCAGACCTGATAGCAAGGGGCGGTGGGGAGATTATGCGCTCCTCACACCAACATTCAATAACTAAGAATGGACACTCACAAAGCGAGATGTTCCAGCTCAAGGGATTTTCTAGGCGAAATACTTACATTATTTTACACAAATAAAAATGGACTAAATGTTTTACTGGTTCGGTCGACGACCATACCGAGAGAATTGCTAAATGAAAACCATAAAGTAAAACTTGACTGAAATTCCACAGGTGGTTGTTGTTATTGTGGACAAGACTTTGGCTAAAATAAAATGCTGCCTGTGTAGAGGCTGCATGCTTCACGTGAGCGGTTGTGTGTGGCTGTGTGCAGACCAGTCCCCTATCGTCACCTCCATTACAGCGGGGGGGGGGCTTACAAAACTCAAGAGGAAGGGGGTGCACGACACGAATGTTAAACGCTCAACAGTGAGTAACAATACATGTGTGTTGTGTATATGAAGAAGGGCTGGGACGTCCATTTTTTTTTCATTTTGTCCATCCCCCTCCAACTGTTGCAGGCAATTTACATATCAAATGAAGCGTCTAAGTTTAAGGAGGGGGCTCAGCACCCGACAGTCGAGGCTCAAGCCGACGCCAGTGGCTACAGACTGAAGCAGTACTTCGACCCAACTCGTCTCATCGTGATCCAAATCTACCAAATGTAAAACATTACACCGCAAATTACTCAATCGGAATATACACAGCGGTCATCACCCCCTACTGCGAAAACCTGGCAGGACCCTCCTGAATCATCAGTGAGATTTTCCTGGGGTAAGCAAGCATAATAATATAAATCAAGAGTGGAAAATGAAAGACAAGCCAAAGCAGTGTGATTGTGACCATGAAAATCAACCATATGGACCGTATGGGTAAACCACTGTGTTCTGCGCTCCTTCAACGGAGGCGGAGGAGGAAAAGGTCGCCAACTCTCTCCTGAAGCTCTCTCGCCGTGGCCAGCCGACCTCAACATTGGCATTTAGCTCCTGAACATTACCGCTGTTTATGCCATCATACGCAAGGATACTGCAGCCTTAAGTACTGCAACGGTGAGTATGAATGACGAGAAACCAGGGCGAGAGGTGTACATGGCTCTGCCGTGTGCGGGGAAGCGAGCGAGCGTGAATTACAATCAATGCTGCCAGTCGCTTGTGTGTTGGTGGTGTTACATCAGTGAGTGGGCCAGCCGGCAACTCCCACGCGTCACCTACATGACGCACGAAGGGCGGCCGGAAGAATGGGAGGGAGCGAGGAGGGATGGATGCAGGAGGGAGGGCGATACGAGACGTAAACAACTCGGAGGCGCTGGCAATATTTGCTCGATTTCGCAGCCACGCATGTATTTGCAGAAAAGCCAAATGAAAATCTGCCGGCCGTGACGTGGAGGGCCGGGGCCGATAACGGCGCTGTGTGCGTGTTCACGTGGCACTGGCCGTCTTGACGTTTCACTGATATACAGGCGTGATTACACAATCTGTAATGGGATTCCTTCATGCTTAAGATTACAAAGAACTCGAGTGAATACAGGAACGACACGTTGGTTTTCCATACATTGAATGCCTGCCCGCATTTTTAATTCCACAAAATAATATTTCCCCCCCCCCCCCCATTATAAAATTAATGTTTATCATTATAAATTATAATGATGTAATTTACAGTATTTTCCTTGAGCAATCTACTGCTGGATAAGCCCAGTAAACAATGAAACGTTGAGTGAACGTTGGTTGACGTTAGATCAACGTTGCATGTTGACTGGGAA